CTGTAATTGGAGAAATTGAAGGACTGGCAGCATATTTACGATTTATCAACAAGCTGGTAATAGGAGAAGACAATATTTTATTGTTTGATGGTAATTTACAACAAGCGCGAAACATAATTAACAAAAAAAAATTTTTTTAATTTTTAAAATTTTTTCGATCAGATCATCGTACGAATTTCTTAGATAAAAAGATGGAAAAACACAAAATCAAGCAGAAAGTAGCTTTACAAACCCTATAATCCGATTAAATCTAGAATTAAAAAAGCGAAAAAAAAATTTTTTTTCTGGTTCAAAGGCTTCACTTACTATTACTACTATACATTGTAATAGATTATCGTGATATCACACCACAAGTTCAAGAACAATATTTCTTTTTTAATAAAGATTACAAGCAAAATTTGGAATTGATAAATTTCAACTATTCAATAACTTTGGTTTAATTAGAACATAAAGTATCATCAAACGAATGATTTAAGTTTTTCTTATGAGAAGATGGAGAACAACCAAAGGATATTGGTGTAGGAAATTGTGATTTTCTCGTTATATCAAATTTTCAACTATATTAACTACATTGAAGCAGAATCCAATCATATATAAACAATACAATTGATCACACCGAAAAAAAAAATCCAGCCAAGGTTCAGCCAGCTATCAAAGTTTGGCACCGTAAGGGAGCTACTCAATAAGAAATATATATGCTCATTGAATATTATATGAGAATTTATTTAGCAAAAGTCAACCGAATAAACATTTCATACAACATTTAACATGCTGAATATTGTACTAATGTTTGTATAGTAATTGCTTGTACCCTTATGGTGCCAAAAATTAATGGCTGAATTTTTCTGTCAAATCAGATGTGCATGCACTAACCATCATTTTCCAATTTCGTTAGACTTTTATATGCTAAAAAGAAAGGTCGATGATGATTTAAAGCTGTTCCTTATGCAACAACAGAGCCATGCAACTTCCTCATTAGTTTTTTTTCATTTGAACACTGTATATTGCCGTGCAAGATGAAAGAAAGAAAGTTACCTTGAAGAAGTCTTTCAAAAAAGAAGTTATGTGGGCACAAGATGTCCTTTGTCGAACTATAGATTATGTTTTCTATTCTAGAAATATCAGATCACCTAGTGATAAAGATTACCCTTATTGTGTCATTCGCCTCAATGGCGCAGTAGAATGTGTTCATCCCCGCCCGATGCCCAGCAAGAAGGATAAAGTATACAACACAAGGAAGGGATACCAATGCAGCTGCAAACATTGCTTCAACTCCTTCCTCCTTTTTGCCGCAATGCTAATCACACAAGGTACAACCTTGCAAATGAACTCCTTTCAGTCATGACACCAGAACTGGCTCCTCATGACTTCATTTGTGATGAATGGAATATGGTGAGGTTTGGATTTTTTTTTTTTAGTTTTCTGGCTGTTTATTCCATATGCTCACTTTGTTTTATTATTATTTAATAGATTGTTATATAGATGTGACCTTTTCCAT